TGTTGATGCTTAGCCTAAATAACAAATATTTTATCGGGAGTGTTTATGCTGGGATGCTGTGGAGCTTAGGAGATGTTACAGAACCATTTTATGTAATTTTATTTGATGTACTGAAAAAAATATAGATTACTTTTATGCAGGCTGGCGGGAGTGGGACAAAACATGAATGTCGTGGGCGGGAGCGGGACCAGATAAGATATATTTCTGCGGGAGTGGGCGGGCGCGGGACAGAATCTTGCGGGAGCGGGACTGAAAAATCCGTCCCGCGCAGGTCTCTAGTTAGAAACAGTCAACATTCTGGAGATGCACGCTTAGGACTGCGCGTGCGCATTGGCTAGTCTAGCCTGAAAAAATAAGCTATTTTTAACGTTATTGGAGCAAAAGAAACAACATTTATGAGACAGTTGTTGTCAGATTTCATTGGTGATTTCAAATATTAAATTTAATCGTAAGCTTGGCAAACTGTTTTGGAGAATTTGATTGACTGTTCCTCAGTGACCAGCACTGATCAGCTCTAGGCATGACGAAGCGATATCGTCCTCTTTTGGAAGGCCAAACAAAGTAGTTTCGCTTTCACAATGAAGCACACAGCGCTTTCACGACATGGTGACAGCGGCAACAATACTACAGCGAGAATAAAACATTTGGGCGGGGTTATGCAAATCTTCCCACATAGTGACGTAGACATGTGGGGGCGTGTTAGAACGAGGCGTTTTAGGTAGGCGTGGTTGACTCTTAACTTTTATAAAGAATATCTCTTTGGATTTGAGACTTTAGTCTTTGCAACTTTACAGATCTTCTTTATGCACCAAGAGCTTGTAACACTCCAAAAAGAAAGGAAAAATTGAAATCGCATCATATGACCCCTTTAAAGGGACTTTGACACTTCACAACCATAGACTGTAGGTGCGTTCACGCCATGTCGTAATTACCGTAATTACGAGATGCCAACTTGTAAAAAGCATTCACGTCCTCATAGAACTCGTAATTACAACTTGTAAACTGGGGATTTTCTAAGAGTTACGACTTGTACCACCTGACAGCCACAGGTTCATTTAGCTGCTATGTTTAGGTGTTGATAGTGTTGCCATAGAAATGCATAATTCAGAGTCCAAGGACGTGAACAACTCCGATTAGAACGTAACGTGTTGTCATTTCGAAATTATCGTAATTATGACATGGCGTAAATGCAGCATGTGAACAGCTCCAAGTAGAACATCACGTGTTGTCATCTCAGAATTACAGTAATTACGACATGGCGTGAATGCAGCATAAGTACACAACCGAAAACGCAGGTCACATGACCATTCAAGCAGGTACAACAATGTGCATGACATCATTGTTTACATGGTCGTCAAGGATACGCAAAGCCGAATGTGGGCAGCCACGCCATCATTTTCAAGAGTCTCCATTTTGGTCCGTTTACACTGAAACGCAACCCCGTCTGCAGCGTTTTCTAAGGTCAAAAACGCCAGAGTAGTGTAAACAACAGGCATAACCATGGCAAAATTATGCATTTTAAAATGAAAACGCACTAGTGTAAACGTAGCCTCAGTCTTGTTAGTCTTTTAGTTTTGTTCGCTTGGCTGTTTCCGATCCCCACCATCGTACTGGCTAACGTACGCTCTTTGGACAATAAACTGGACTACATCCATCATTATATCTGCACTGTTGTTTACTTCACTGGTTTGCACTCTATCTGCCATGCGCCTTGTGCTGCTTTATATATTTTTTTACATTTTACCTTATTTGTATAATTGTATAGTTGTATTTTATATGTAAATCTGTATCTATCTGTATTTATGTTCTACTGTTAGTGTTATCTGTATGCACCAAGGGTCTGAGAGTAACGCAATTTCAATTCTCTGTGTATGTGCTGTACATGTGGAAGAATTGACAATAAAGCAGACTTGATTTGACTTGACTTGTGTAGCTTTTTATAGAAACTAAACACTTCACGGGTTAAGCATTTCTTTTTTTATTCTTTTAAAAATACCCCAAATGCAGGTAACACATAAACTATTGTAATTTAATTTATTAACTTAATGTTTCTTCTGTGTTAAGGTGGGAGTTATGATCACATAATATAGGCTACTGATTGGTGGATCTGCAAGGAATCATCTGTCTTCGAGTCATCAATTCCGTAAAAGGGCGAGGCAGACAGTAGTTGAAGTTCATTCTCATTAGATTGCACAATGGAGATTAATTGAAATTATGGTTCTATCAAAATAACATAAAATTAACGTGTGAATATCAATATAGCCCAAATGGATGAGTAGCGAACGTTCAAAAATAAATGGGAGCAATCATGACTGAATGTCTCCTTATTTTATTTAAAATATCAAGCTATACCGATTTATTTTGCATGCATGATCTTGCAAAAATGTCCCTGCACAATTAAACAAAATCTATGGCTGTCGCGAATAAAGTGAAAATGAAATAAAAAGTGTAGATTGTGGCATTAAATTTAGATCTGCATCATGCATTTAGATGCTGCATCACATTTCTTTTTAAAAGTGTTTTACTTTGTTGCGAATCTTAACCAATCACACACGATTCTGTTGAGCTTATTGATGCAGTGGCCAATTAGAAGCGTTCAGATGAGTCATCGGTGAAACACCGGAGTTTATTTCAGAACGCGAGCTCGCTTACTGAATTCTGCTCTCTCGCAAATTATCTCATCATAAGCAACAAAGTGCAGATGTACCTACGATGTAAGTAAGAGATTCATTCATCATACAGTATGTAGACAGCTTCAGTGTTTATAACGGGAGTTTTTTGAAAGTTCTTAAACTCGTGCCAGACTTAAGTCAGTGATAATATTCTTTGATAATGTAGCCTAAATGTTCTGTGCTCGCACTCTCTATATGATTTATTAATTGTTTGAATAACCGTGGAAATTAAATAGTTACAATTAACAGGCCTAACTTACGTTTTATTAAATTGTGATCACGTTAAATACAAATTTGGTAATATTAAAATATTTTATGACATGAGACCCATTATCCGGTAGCCTATACCTATACAAGTATACTTGCCTAAAAAGACGGGTATGATGTGCGTTGTTAACAGATTACACTAACATTATGGAGTTGGGTCACCCTCAGCCTTTGGAGGAAAAAAAAAGTTTTCAAAAGGCCCCCCCCCCCTCTGTTTTCTTCACAAATTGCACCCTGCTTACATCTATGAGGTTTTACTGGACTGTAGTGTTTAAAATAGGCAGCTGTTGTATTTAAGTATTTTTCAGCTTAGTGTATTTTATCATTTTTGTTTTTTGTTAATTGTGCAACTTGCATTACTTTGTTATCGTCATAGCCCTGCATCTGACGTGGCGTTAAAAACTAAAATACATTTTTATTCAGGATTAAAAAAAGAAAAAAAGAAAAGAAAAAAACAGGTAATACAAAGTATTTTGATATGCATATTTCTTATATTTTATAATATAATTGTTATTTAAAAAAATAAACATTGAAGTCCTTTTTAAATGGTTCCATTTTATAAACAAATTTGCATTTGGCTTCTTGACAGACGACCGTATGGGGCTTATGGAGTTTGAACCTTTACCCATAAGCGTCACATTTACTGCATGATCTTTGTTCTCTGGCCTCCTCCCTCCAGATAACCAGCACAGAAGCACAGAACAGGTAACAAAATAAAATCAGCAAATGTCTTTAAAAATGTCTGGACTGACAATATTATATAGCAATCACTGTGTCTGAATAACGTGAACAAATTAAAATAACGCAACTAACAGCAAGATTAATGACTTGAATGCATGTCTTTTGCTTTTACACTGTTGTGAATGGTGCACACAGCCAATTTACCTATTCCTGCACGTGTGCTTATTTTACAAAGATGTAGATTCTTGACAACTATTAGAATGAATTGACTTTAACTTAACTGCAGCTGCTTGTGACCTACTCTCATTTTGTGCATTTGATAGTAACAAAAGTCCACTTTTAGTTCACTGCACTATCACAGACGGAGATGACTTAGCACTTTCTCATTTTATGTCACAAACCAGCTATTTTTGTCTGTGTGTAATCAGCGTCAAATGGAGATATTTCTGTAGTCACACATTTTCTAGTCCTACTCTGCTGTACACACAGATACTGTGATATTTCTGTTTTCTCCTCAGTCTTGAAGATGGTGGTTTTGTCGAAAGAATACGGCTATGTGGCTCTAACCGGAGCAGCATCATTTCTCCTGATGGCTCATCTGTCTCGTGCTGTGGTGAAGGCTCGGGTTAAATACAATGTCCCGGTAACTTAGACACTAATCACTGCACATGTACTGATAATCAAACAGCGAGTTCCAAAATTTTGCTTTAGGGCCCATTCACACCAAGGATGGCATTTACATTTATTCATTTATCAGACTCTGTTATTCAATGCAGTTTACAAATGAGGAATGCAAAATGCTAAGTAGCATTTTAAGAGCATTGACAGCCAATCAGAATCCATCCTGCTTTAACGACCACAAGCATAAAGCAGCAGACGACTAAACTGCAGCAGGTGCTAAACAGAATGTTATTGTGTATTGGTGTGGACACTAATATAGGCAGTGTTAGGTTTGTTAAGGTATGTAATTAATTACTAGCTACTAATTTAAATTTTCAACAGTGTAATTAGATTACTGTACTGATTACTCTCTCTAAAAAGTATTGCATTACTTATTACTAATTACTTTCTAAATCCCATATCAACCTCAACAAGTTGAGCAATACAAGGATAGACATGAATCTACTCTTAATTCTTTCAAATAAATAATGTTAAATGGCATAAATTATTCTTGAGCTGAGCAAAGTATTTAAAGGGAAATGTTTACATTAAAAACATACATTTTGATTTTTAATCCAGTTGTTTTTACATAGAATTGTTCTATATAATTACATCAGAAGTAACTAATTAAATTACAGAAGATTTAAGAGTAATCCCTTAAGAGTTATCCCATTGCAACTTTATTTTACATCTATAAAATTAACAAACAAACATAAAAAAACAGACAATTAACACACAGTACAACCTTCCCTTTTAAAAATTGATCAGTTTTGCTATCCTAACCATACACAATTATACATTTAGTTGCATTTGATTGTTAACATTAGCATTTATTCCTACCACCATGTCTGCAACAAACCCACTGGTTGAGAACCACTTTTTTAGAGCACAAAAGTACTTTAAAGATTTTGCTTAATGGTCTCATGACATGCGTGCATTAGTTTCATTTTATTTTCTAGTGTCCGACAATGTACAGTGATGATCCAGAGACTGGTCAAAAATTCAACTGTATCCAGCGAGCGCATCAGAACACGTATGTACATTATGCATCACTCAAGATATATGTGTGTGTTCAGGGCAGATCTTATATTACTGCAGAATATTAATGTTTCCTTGACAAGAAATATCGGTTTACCGAATGTTTTACATTTCATATAAAAAAGAATGTTGTGGGGGTTTGTCCTTATTTTCTGATGATTTAGGGATTTTCACATCTGTAATTATTATTGTGAAACAGAGTTGAACTCTTGTCGCCATTCCTGTTTCAATTATCTGTGGGAGGGATTCAGTATCCAGTGAGTACAGATTCAAGCTTTATTAACCCTTACCTGAAGGTGCACTCTAAATACACATGCAAGATAATGCAAACTCTGAAGTGAACTCTTTATTGTGTTTGTGATTCTCAGCGCATGGCCAGTGTGTTGGGAATGATCTGGATCGTCAGTCGGGTGCTGTACGCTCATGGATACTCTTCTGGAAGTGAGTCTCAATCTGATCTGCGAATATTAAGACAGTTAAACTGACAGTATGAATACAGATCAAAACAGCTAGAGAAATGTTTCTGTGTTGTGTTCTGTCCTGTTAGAGCCTGAGAAGCGCCACCGTGGGTCGTTCGGTATGGTTGCTTTGCTGGGTCTGTTTCTTTGCACGGTGAACACCGGGAGAACGCTGCTCGGATGCGATCATGGGTTAAAATGGGTCAAATGGCCGAAATGTTTTAAACAGTGAAAACTGCGTTTACAGATCAGTCCTGTTCTAATTCTACATTCTGTAAAATGTCGTTTAAAAAAAACACTTTTTGCAAATCTAGAAAAACACAAGAGACACTTCACACTGTAAGAATTTGCTGTGTGTACATTTGTGCTTTAAATAAATGGCACAAAAGTTAAAAAGTTCAATTCAGTTACTTTTTTTTGTCATAAAATTACATAAAAATGACATTTGAAACATGCATACTATAACAACCAAGTGCATGAGTGTTATTTTAGTATCATTGAGGTACTGTTACAGTTTGTGTGTGTGCGTGTGTGTGTATATATATATACATATATTATTTTTTTTTTTTTAATTATTATTTTTTTTAATTCGTTTCATTGTATTTTCTGTTTTCATTTGAATTTTGGTTAACATTTTAGTAATTTTGTTGTGTTTTTCGTGTCATTGTTTTTTTTTTTTTTGTCTATAACCTATAGTTTTTATTTATTTTTATTTCAGTTTTAATTTGTTATATTTTGCTACATCAAGTTAAATTAAATTAAAATAAGAAATGTTGCTTTGGCAACTAGCTAAAATATATAATTTATTATTTATGTTTAAGTGTTGTTTTAATATTTTACTTCTCTTAACGTTAATTTCAAGTAACAGGTTTTAGTTTTTATCTGTGCCACATTTGACATTTGACTAAAGGGAAGAAGTCAAATGAAAAAAACAAAAAAATAAAATATGCTTAAAAATACCATATTAATACCAATTAAAACTAAAGATAATTTATCTAAACTTTAGAAAAATGTAATATTGTGCCTCATTCATTGACGTGTTTAACACAAGATTATTTTAATAAATTAGAAATTATACAAATATATTCCAGAAACTGCAGAACATGTAAGTATAATGTCTATCTATAGCATTAGTTCGATTGTATGCCAAGTACCGTATGTTGTGGATATTGTAGCAGGGATATGAGGTGTTCATGTGTTTAGGGTACTTTTTACATTTTTTAACACACAGGTTTATGCAGTAGAATATAATGTGTGTAGATGGAGTCATATCATAACATAGAGGGTCCTTTTTTCTCTCCATAATGTTTACTACTAGGCCTACTACTCCTAAGGAGTGAGCGGCCATTAAACAAGATTAACTACATTTCCCATAATCCATCTGTGGTGCCGGAAGTGGCTCCTGGATTTAAACTGAAATGGTCACTGATCCCATGAAAAGACGATTTTAGACACAAAATAACACTTTTAATGAGAATTTCCATGACAGGACATGCGTTCATGAGGTTTCTCTGAAGTTACCGGTCTCTCAGTGTTTTGAAGCGTCGTTTCAGTCGTTTGTTTACTAAAGCCGAAACACACCTCTGCATTATTATTATATCAGGTGTCGCTACGCGTTTACCTGTAGCTGTTACCTCACCTGTCATCATAATTCCCGCTGGCTTTATGTGTATTCATACCGCAGGCAGGGTTTAGGCTCGCATTTTAATCGAGAAGTTGATTATCGGTCGCTCAGGATGAACTGGGATCAGCAGTTGCGCTCCATCATCTCCGAGGCTGATGAAAGCGGCGCAAAAATGAGGGTAAGATACTGTTTCATCTCTAATAATTGGATTAATTTTAATTTTCTGTACATGTGTGTCAGTTTAGTGTGTTGTAGATGCCAGCTGCTAGGATGCGCTCTTTATGTCTGGCAGATGAAATAAAAGCAAAGTTAAAATGTTGTCATTGTTTACTCACACTCATGTTATTCTGCACCTGCATGACTGACTTACTTTTGTAGTAAGCATAATACAAAGTTATTAATAATGTGTCTTACAAGGAACGTCTTTCTACACATGGAAGATCTCCCAGAGAAACAAGGTAAACTCGTTTTTAAATGATTATTACGTCCATTAATGGAACCTAAATAATAAATGTTGGCAGATGGAGATGTTCTGTGTTATTGTTTTCTGTTCCTAATCTGGAAATAAAAGGGAAGTTAAATACATACATAAAATACCTTCCAGGCCTACAGAAGTCTTGGAAATTTTAATTTAAATTTTATGGTCAAAATATTAAAATACTACATATTCTGTTTGGGAGTAATGTTGTTTTAGTATATTTATATACTGTTGTAGTTTTATTTTTTTAATGTTTTAAATAAGCTCTTTATATTTTTATTTTAAGTAATTTTATTGTAAAAATGTTCTTTTGTCATTTTTATTTTTTAATTGCTATTTAGGTTTAATTTATTTTTATTTCAGTTTTGGTTTTAGATTTTATTTATTTCCAGTAAATAATTATGGTGCGTGAGGCTAAACTTATTTCAGTTCTAATTTTCATTTAGTATAAGTATTTCATCTTATATTTATATTTTATTTTATTCCAGTATTTCAATTAACTAAAAAGTTTTAAAGGGGTCATATGACGTTGCTAAAAAGAACATTATTTTGTGTATTTGGTGTAATGAAATGTGTTTATGCGGTTTAAGGTTAAAAAAACACATTATTTTCCACATACTGTACATTATTGTTTCTCCTCTATGCCCCGTCTTTCTGAAACGTGTCGATTTTTACAAAGCTCATCGGTCTGAAAAGCGAGGTGTGCTGTGATTGGCCAGCTATCCAGTGCGTTGTGATTGGCCGAATACCTCAAGCGTGTGACGGAAATGTTACGCCCCTTACCATATTGTGATACCTTGTCCCGGCCGGAGTGACGAGACAAAAACATTAAAACCCAATATAAACAAGGCATTCGTTGCATCCAGTGGGGACATAATTACGGATTATAATGACTTATACTGTCTTTTTACGCGTTGCATTGCATCGCGCCGCGTAAACATAAAACCATGTCTGCATTTGTGATCGGAGAAATGACAAACAGATTCGGATCAGCTCCAGGCACGACGAAGCGGATATTGTCCTCTTTTGGAAGGCCAAACAAAGTAGTTTCACTTTCACAACGAAACACACAGCGTCTTCACGACATGGCGGCGGCGGCAACAATACTACAGCGAGAATAAAAGTTACGCTTTCTTTCTTTGCGTGAACATTTGGGCGGCGTTATGCAAATCTTCCCACATAGTGATGTAGATATGTGGGGGCGTGTTAGAACGAGCCGTTTTAGGTAGGCGTGGTTGACTCTTAACTTTTATAAAGAATATCTCTTTGGATTTGAGACTTTAGTCTTTGCAACTTTACAGATCTTCTTTATGCACCAAGAGCTTGTAACACTCCAAAGAGAAAGGAAAAATTGAAATCGCATCATATGACCCCTTTAATAGTTTTAGCTAATGATAATATTGAGGGACTGGAAAAGTCTCCAGAGGAGCAGAAGAGACTGGACTGGACCGACGGATCGAGCAGTGGAAGAGAGAGATGGATCGAGAGCTGAGCAGTCTGAGAGGTCAGATCAACCGAGCCGCGACTCTAGGAAACCAGGAAGAAAGGTCTGTAATGATTCTTTAGTGACATATTTATAAGCAGTATTTATATTGTGCACGCCAACATTGTTCAGTCTCAACAACAAGGGAACTGACCAAATTAAAAGAGGCTTAAAAACACCCTAATATCCATGATGTCCTAATTTTATATAAAAATATTCTAGTTTTTAATATTTAATTCCATTTAATAATTTAAGTGCTTATGCTTAAACCTATTTCATTTAGTTGCCAAGGCAACATTTCAATTTTTTTTTTAAGTTTTTCATCTATTATTTATAATTTATTTTATTTCAGCTTTATTTCAATTATAAAAAAGTGTTTTAATATTTGTAGTTAATGATAATAGCCCTGTTTGGGAATTAAATTGCCATAAAATTATTTTAAAAATCCTTATTTAGTCATTTTGAGGGACTGGAGAAGTCATGGAAATTCATTGATCAGAGGGGTAAGAACCGAGGACCACACACCAAATATAATTAATTAAAAAAAAAAAAATAAAAAAAAAAATATATATATATATATACCCACACACACATACTGTATTTATAGAGCCATGACTCTAGGAGATCAACAAGAAAGGTCTGTAATGATTCTTTACTTACATATTTATATGCAGTATTTATATTGTGCATGTCAACATTGTTGAGTTTTGAGACAATGGAACTGACCAAATTAAAATTGTTTTTAGCATAAAATGACCTTAATATCCACAATTTACTTTTTTTTAAATCATCACTGTAAGTATTCATTCTATTGAAATGTGCATTAAGAAAGTAAATGTGGTATACTTCAAGTATGCTAGTATTCCACTAGTGTAAAAGAAGCAGTTTAGCAGTGGTGCATGTAGTAGTTGAGAATCACAGACATTTATGGTTTATAACAGGGCTAGTCAACGCCGGTCCTGGAGGGCCAGTGATCTGCATAGTTTACTTCCAACCCTTGTCCAACACACCTGTTCATCATTTTTAAATAGTCTTGAATACTTTGATTAGCTTGTCAGGTGTGTATGATTAGGGTTGGAACTAAACTCTGCAGGACACCGGCCCTCCAGGAGCCGAGTTGAAGAGCCCTGGTTTATAATGATCTTCGTCTGTCCACAGTTTCAGCTCTAAACTCCGCAGAGAAGAACTGGAGCAGCTCGGGAGAGAGGTGGACATTCTCAAAAACAAACTCAGTAGGTCGTAAACTAGTCACTTTTCATCTTTGAGGCCATAGATGGATGAACTGACTTACATTAGATATATAAACTATAGCGTTAGACGCATAAATCAAGCTCTTTCAGTGTTGTATTATTACAGTCAGGGCTCTCTGCCAGAGCAAATATACTTTGTGTCAAAATAAACATACACAGCCGATGCGCTGCTTTCACTGTCACACAAATAAACATCCCGCTCCGATATCGCTTGTGTTTGTGTTGGCTTCACATTCATAACGCCTTCAATATTGATAGACATTCAGACTCTGGTTACATTTATACCGTGTTCATAAATGTTAAAAAAGCAAACTGGTTGTGTTTCTGTAGTGCGGCAGGAGGAAGATAGATACGTTCCAGCTCCAGTCAGAGGCCAGAGAAGCAAGGAGACAGTATGAACGCAGCTCTAAAGTAAAGAAATTATACACACGCTCATATATGTACACTATCGCTCAAAAGTTTGGGGTCAGGATGAAAGCAGCATGCATTAAGCAGCACAACTGTTTTCAACACTGATAACAATAAGAAATGTTTCTTGAGCAGCAAAACAGCATATCAGAATGATTTCTGAAGGATCATGTGACACTGAAGACTGGAGTAATGATGCTGAAAATTCAGCTTTGATCACAGAAATAAATTACATCTTAACATATTCAAGTAGAAAACGCTTATTTTATATTGTAATAATATTTCACATTATTACTGTATCAAATAAATGCAGCCTTGGTGAGCAGAAGAGACTTCTTTCAAAAACATCTTAAAGGGGTGTTTTTTTCTCTCTCCAAGTTTCTCAAGGTTTCTTTGATTCTCAGACAGGCTGTTTTTGCTACTGTACCTTTAATGTGCATTTAAATTGACTTCTGTATGTAAATTACTTCCGTTATGATTGGCTAACGTTTGTGAACACACTCAGGTCATGGTGCTTAATATGCAAGTCGTTTACATAAGAATTGATGTTTTTGCTGTGTAGTTTCAGTAAACGGCATGTTCAGTGTGCTGTTTTGGTTCAGTTCACACTCATGTGAGGTTTGTATTCTGCAGAAGTTAGAGAGTTTCACAGACTCGTACCGCACACACATGGTGTCACAGATGGAAATGGAAACCTCTGTCTAATGTTGACGTAAGTAGGTTTAAAGAGTGTAACGGACAGTTTACTTGTGTCATTATGGCTTGAACCGTGCTATTTATGCTATAATTGATCTACGTTCATGTAAAATCAAGTCCATGGGCACAGAGTTTTTGCAGTATTTTTTATGACTGACACACATTAGATATAGTCTTGCTTTGCAAGTATTGCACTGACATACTCTGAGGTATTAGCTACCAATGTAAGTGGCAAAACAGCTTTTGAAATTATGCAAAAAGAGTGTTTTCAATATGAACATGCAACGCATAACATCCATTTAGTCAAAAAGAGTTTGACTCGGGCTTGTGTACATGTTTTAAATGTATTTGCAGTCAGTATTTGGAGTATGTTTGCAAAAATGCTTGTTATATTTTAACATGCATTGATTTGTTCACAGTAAGACCAGATATGTGACCCTGGACCACAAAAGCAGTCTTAAGTCGCTGGGGTATATTTGTAGCAATAGCCAAAAATACATTGTATGGGTCAAAATTATCGATTTCTCTTTTATGCCAAAAATCATTGGGATATTAAGTAAAGATCATGTTCCATGAAGATATTTTGTAAATTTCCTACCGTAAATATATCAAAACTTAATTTTTGATTAGTAATACGCATTGCTAAGGACTTCACTTGGGTAACTTTAAAGGCGATTTTCTCAATATTTTGATTTTTTTTGCACCCTCAGATTCCAGATTTTGTCCTATCCTAACAAACCATACATCAATGGAAAGCTTATTTATTCAGCTTTCAGATGATGTATAAACCTCAATTTTGAAAAATTGACACTTAAGACTGGTTTTGTGGTCCAGGGTCACAAATGTGTATTAAGAAAGTAAATAGTTTTGATTTCACGTTGACTTCAAATTTTTTGAACAAAGAAAAACAGTCACCTTTTTACCACTTGAAATAAGTCTCAATAATTGTAGCATTTCATAACTTGCGTGTCAAGTGCTGTGAGCCAAATTTCAAAAAGTGACAATTTAGTGTATTTTAAAGACGTTTATTAATTAAAAGAACAATGTGTAATAAGAAACACTTTAAATCCACTCTCACATGTTATTACACAAAGTAAACATAACGCATCCATCAGCCATCAAACCACAAAGATGAAAATACTGTATTATTGACTGGTTCATCAATCAATAAAAACAATGTTGGATGTTGAGTCTATAGCTACATTTTGTTCATTTTTTCTCTCAGTTTTTATAAAACATTTCAGGCACAAGAATAGCATTAAAATTATGGCTATTTATTGATTAATGTCTGTTTTTTTTTTTACTGTTTTTGTCAAAGTGCACACAAATGGATTTTTGAAAACAGGTGAATTTTGTAACATCATGAGCCAAGAGCCAGTTGCATTTTCAACGTTGTTTTGTCTATTTGATGACATTCCAAATGATGTAAACAATCCCAAATTTTCATTTGATGTTAACTGAACATCTATAAAACTGACAAAAATGCTATTTCTCACGGGTGGAAGTGTCCTTGGGAACTAAACAGAATGAAGTAAAATGAAACACTTGGAAATCATTACTGATGTCGTTCATACAGTATTGAAGGAATGCTTCAGGTTTAAAAAAAGGTTAAATTTCATCCCTCAGTTTGTAAAAACAAGCAAAAATCAGTTTACAGTAATGCACTTACTATAGAAGGTCTCTCCTTTTGCATGTCCTGCAAAAGTTACAGGGTTTAGCAGCTTTACAGGAGTTGGAAAACTGAATAAAACTTCCTACAGATAAGCTTAGTAGACTATTATCACATTAGTGTCATGTTAACATGAATATTGTTTAAGTCTTGTGGCTGTACTGTAGAAAATGCTTTTTATTGTTTATTCTGGTACCCCACAGACTTGCACTATAAGTGCATTACTGTAAACATGATTGTTGCTGACTGAGATAGAGATTGAAATTTTGTGTGGTGATCGACAACTTGTATTGAACTTGGAACATTTCTTTCAAGGAATAATTCACCAAAAAATGAACATTTGCTCACCCTCAGGGCATCCAAAATTGTTTCTACATTCTACTCCCAAATATTCCCGCAGCACACAGCCCTTCCAAACCCCACGTAAAGTGCAAGAAAACTTCCCAACAAACAGGAACTGACGGCCACGGTGAATTTAACAACTAAAGTGGAGTATTACGCTACATTTAGTCCTGTAACAGAACAGAAGTGTTTGTGCCTCTATGAAGCACATCAGCCATTTAATTGTGTCTGTGTGTGTTGTGTTGATCAGAGGATGTTGGGCGCTCTGAAGATGTCTGAGGAACATCTGGGTTTTCAGTAGCTGTACATGGAGAGAGGCGCGTCCTCCAGCATATCATCCTGAAACACACAGATGTCAGTGAGTCGTTCTCAGGAAACGCTGTCATTTGTGAGCTATACTGTATGTGCATCAATGACTTTCTCCTGCAAGACTTGCCAGTAAGGAGGAGCAACAACAATGTACAGTATGTGGAAAAGAATGTGTTTTTTGAACCTTAAACTGCATAAACACATTGCATTACACCAAATACACAAAATAATGTTATTTTTAGCAACGTCATATGACCCCTTTAAATGAAATGTAAAATAAAAAACAAATAGCAATATCATTTGTATACACGGCATCTAAATGGTTTCCTGAGAATGATACTTTTAACTGTCAGTGTTGAATGTTTGTCACATGGCTGATTGCTTAGAAATGTATTGAGCTAGTATGTGTTTGTTTTAAAATGATTTGTGGAAGCTGAGGTCTCACCATGGGGAGAGCTTGAAGTCTGCGAAACTCTGGACCGTCACTTGTGTTTCTGAATTTGAGGAATATGAGGACCGACACGATGGCAGCGACGACGACGAACGCTGACACCAGTCCAGCAAGCAGCGGGTCAGTGGACACTTTGCTATTGTCTAGAAGAACCAAAACAGAAAGAGAGAGAGAATAATACTAGCGCACTTTCTGGAAAATATGTAAATAGTGTGTGTTTGTGTGCTTGAGTGTTTCTGCAGAGACGCAAAAGCCTGGCGAATCCACAAAGATGCATCTGTTCTTCGGTTGTGTCAGCGTGAAGACGTCTCTCACAGCTCGCCGTTCCTCTACACGTATAATGACGTTCTTGTTTTCCACATGCTCTGTTATCAGCCTCTCTGCTGTTAGACCGCTATTCATATCCAGTTTATGAGGATTTCTTTTGCTCGCCGTTATGGCACACAAAAATGCAGATGTGCACTGTAAATATTTGTGCGTGCAGCTGCATTTGCTCACAAAAGCATCAACCAAATGAATAATCACATGATGTTTGATAATCGCAGCAATAAATCATGCCCGCATTGAAAGACGACAGGCTTTCTGCCCATATCAGCAGCAGAGGTCTCCAGCAGAAAGCAATGCTTTTGTCAAAATCAGTCAGTCCGGTCATAATTACACAGCAATTTTAATGCGGATGATGCTACAGTAATTAAATATAAATACAGTATTCATATTGAAAAGTACCGATAAATATAGTTAAAAATATATTTAAGTTTATTATTATATATGACTAAATATATCAAGTTTAATACATACTTTAAATTAAAAACTAAATAAAAAGAAAACATTTATACTGAAATGGTAAATATAGTTTGTAATCATTAAATGCATAATATTTAAGTTTTTTATTAAACTTAAATTCAGAATTTATACCAAAAAGTACTGACAAATGTTGTTTCCTAAATACATTATATATGTGTATTTAAATATATTAAGTGTAAAGTATTTTTTAACATTAAGAATTCAGAATTTATACTGAAAAGTACTGATAAGTATAGTTTATAATAAATACATTATATTTAAGTGAATTTAAATGTATTAAGTGTCAAATATATTTAATATTGAGAATTCAGAATTCATACTAAAAAGCACTGATGAATATAGTTTATAATAATACATATTTAAGTGTATTTAAAAATAAATGTAATATATATTTAATAATAATAATTGAGGGTTACACTTTATGTTAAGGTGTCCTTGTTACAGTGCATGTAATTATACATTTAAGTACTGAGTAATTAACTACATGTACTTACTATATGGTTAGGATTAAGGTTTGGTTTAGGGTTACTTGCATGTAGTTATGCATAATTAATTGTTATTACAATTGTAAGTACATGTAACGTGTAACAAGGACACCTTAAAATAAAGTGTTACTGAATTGAGAATTTATACCGAAAAGTACTGACAAGTATTGTTTATTAAATACATTATATTTAAGTGTATTTAAATATATTAAGTATAATATATATTAAATATGAAGGATTCATACTGAAAAGTACTGATGAATATAAATGATAATAAATACATTATATTTAAGTGTATTTAAATATATTATGTGTAATATATATTTAGTATTAAGAATTCATACTGAAAAGTACTGATGAGTATAGTTTATGATAATTAAATACATCGTATTTAAGTATATTTAAATATATAAAGTCTAATATATATTTAATACCATAAGAATAAAGAATTCTACTGAAAAGTACTGATATAGTGTATTTAAATATGTTCAATATAGTTACATATTTACATTACATATATATTTTAATATAGTTCATATTAAATGCGTTAAGGGTTAAAACATTTGCTGAAAAAAAGTCTTATTTACTTGAAGCTAGGATATTGTGTTGTTTTAAAGATGTATTTTTGACTGGAAAACCAGATGAAATACTGATCAAGAAGACTAATGAAATGCAGGATTAGTCTGTGTTTTCACGTACCGTGGTCTCCGACGTTCAGAGCTGAGGGGGTGTTGCCGTGGGCTTTCATCACTGTCATCTGCGTGGTGAGCGCTGGGGCGGCGGCAGTACTGGGTGATGATGCTGGTGGAGTGGATTTCCGTCTGCTGCGAGCGCTCGTTGATTCTGGGCTGCTCGCGTCTGGAGCTCGCGTGCTGATGTGGATGCTGCTTGTGGGCTCATGGGTCGTTGACGGCAGGAGTGTAGTTGGTTTTACCGTGGTAACTGCTGTCTCATTATTCACAGGTGACACATCCGAGTCATTTCGACTGTCTGTGATGTTCCCAGAGAAACTGACATTCTCTGCCGGGGTGGATGAGTTCATCAGCATCTCTAAAGGTGAAACAAACACAGTGGTGTTAAATCAGCAAAAAGTGTTGTGCCCACTCAGATTTGAGTACTTCCAAAAAAAGTTGCACAATTATAATTTTCCTTGCTTTATTTTGTGATTTATAAGATTTTTTTAACCTTTTTAATTAAATTTTTTATGCTCACCAAGGCTGCATTTATTTGATCAAAAATACAGTAAAAACAGCAATATTGTGAAATATTATTACAATTTAAAATAACTGTTTTCTATGTGAATATATTTTAAAACGTAATTTATTCCTGTGATGTAAAGCTGAATTTTCAGCATCATTACTCCAGTCTTCAGTGTCACATGATCTTCAGAAATCATTCTAATATGCTGATTTGCTGCTCAAGAAATATTTCTGATTATTATAAATGTTGAAAACAGTTGTGCTGCTTCATATTTTTGTGTAAACCATGAAAACAGATTTTTTCCCCCTTGGATTCTTTAATGTCTAGAAAGTTCAAAAGAACAGCATTTATTTGAAATAGAAATTTAATGCATATTTATTTAATTACTAAATAAATGTTAAGTGTATAAAAACATATATATTTACATATATTTATATTAAATATATGAAGTGTAAAACATTTTCTTTATTTGAAATAGAAATCTTTTGTAACATTATCAGTGTCTTTACTGTCACTTCTGATCAATCTGATGCATCCTTGCAGAATAAAAGTATTAATTTATTATTTAATTTATTAAAAAATCTTACTGAAACATTTGAACAGTAGTGTACAGAGTTTACTTTCAAAAAGTAAACTAAGGGGTTTGTTAAAAAGTTTTTTTTTCTTTTTTTCCTTTTGGTCATATCTTATCTTGAATATTACACAAAGTAAGCCAGAACCGCCACTGGTGCCAACTTTAAAAAAGAAAAATGGGTGCATGATGTCCCTGGTGGGCGTTTTTCGGTGAAAAACACAGAGCTGCTCAACACAACATGCAAACTGAGCTGCAGCTTTGGGCTTTTTCAGTTAAATTCATGAGCACATGTAACATGACTCAACGGGCGGCTACATGTTCAACGCCGTTTCTTCGGTTGGTGATGCCTTTGTTAAACACTAAAAGCATTTCCAACTCATTTTAACTCCTGTAATGTGACTTAAGAGTGAAATGTGAGATTCAGTAAGATTGAATCCATCAGTAAGTGGTTGGATTGTGAAAAGTGGTCTCTTTATGACTGATGGGGGAAGGGGATGAAAAATTAAGAGAGCTTGATGATGTCGGGGCAGAAAGGAAAGCTGTTTCAGAGGTGGAGTAAGTCATTCTTTCATTTCGATGATTACAAAGACATCCTTTTTTTTTTCTATGGAACATAGAAAAAACCAGGTATGAGGGATTAATTGGATTGGTTGTTTTACAGAGTGAAAGGAAACTGATCTGAATGTGAAAACACTGAACGTTTGCCACATATGTGTGAGTTCTTCACGGAAAGAGGCTAGCATACTATTCACCTGGCTAGTATACTATTACTATTTCTGCAGTATGTACACTACCGTTCCAAAGTTTGGGGTCAGTAAGAATTAAAAAAAAAATTAATTAATACTTTTATTCAGCAAGGATGCATACAATTGATCAAAAGTGACAGTCAAAACATTTATAATGTTAAACAAAGATTTATTTGACAAATAATGCTGTTCTTTTGAATTCTCTATTCGTCAAAGAATCCTGAAAAATATTTCCGGTTTCCATTCAATATGAAGCAGCGCAACTGATTTCAACACTGATAATTATGAGAAATGTTTCTTAAGCAGCAAATCAGCATATCAGAATGATTTCTGTAGGATCATGTGACACTGAAGACTGGAGTAATGATGCTGAAAATTCAGCTTTGATCACAGCAATAAATTACATTTTACAATATATTCACATAGAAAACAGTAGTAATAATATTTCACAATATTACTATATTTTTACTGCATTTTTGATCGAATAAATGCAACCTTGGTGAGCAGAAGAGACCTTTCACGTTAAAAATATAAAATAATAATTGCATTTATTTCCAAGATAGATGCACTCAGAAAATTAAATATGCACATTAACAATGTATGTAAAAGCACATATTGTGTACGTTTTAAGTACGTTAGTGTTTCATCTGGATGCAGCCAGTGAGTGTATTTGAGCTCTGCAGTAATGCAGCAGGATGATTTTTAATGGTGTTGGTGAGATCTTTGATGGTTTGTGGAGTGAGCCAGAGTTGTTCTGTGTGACAGCACGTGTCTGTGCATGTGAGACGTGTGCGTGTGTGAACAGCACTGAGCTGTGTGTGTGTGTGTGTGTGTGTGTCATGAGGATTCAAACTCTCACACTCTCATGTCAGATCTCACACTGCATTTACTCACTGTCTCTCTTTATGTCGTTTTACATTGCTGTCGCAGTTCAGAACCACTGATTGTTGTGTAAATTATCTGTTCTGTCAGGTCAGGTAGTAGCTAAGTGGAAGAATTCACCCAAATGATGAAACTTCTCTTATTTGCTCACTCTCATGTTGTTCTAAACTTGTTGAAATATGTCTTTGCTTGCCATTTTAGATTATGAAGCAGCAGGAATGTGATTTTCAGCCAATGATGACTTAGATATTGGTGTGTTCTGCTTTTGTGCTTCACAGAAGAAAGAAAGGTACGCGGGTTTGGAACAACATAATGAGAGTAAATAATGACAGAATTTTCGTTCTTAGGTTAAATATTCCTCTGTGGTAGTCTCAACAAAGTTAGTTTGAAATTAGCAGAAAATGTGTAGAATGAGTGAACAGTGTTATTCTATATTATTATTATTTATATAGTATTTATTCATATTTTAAATTAGATTTAAATAAAATCCACTTAAAAAATATTAATAAATGTTATATAAATAATAAATTAAAATGAAAAGTGAAAATATAAAAAAAATAAGTATTTATATACAAGTATTTCAGTTACTTGCCAAAGCAACATTGCAAATTTTTTTTCCATATATATATTTATATTAGTGTTGTCTATTGATAAAAAAAGATAACTAATTAATTGCACTTTTTTCTGAAATGAATCGCGATTAATCCCACCTAACATTAATGTTTTAAAATATACTTTTATATTGCAATAATTTCACATTCAATCTTAATTTAAATGAATGTAGAAATAACAAAGACAGTATATTTTTTATATTTGTCTAATGCCATATTTTTTTGCTAATATTTAACCATTGACTAGCCATTCAACACTACAGTATAACTGAGAGCTATCAATTTTAACATTTATTAGACTTAAAAAAATAATAACTTCTAATTTAAGTGAACTTAAATCAATCTTCGCATTAACCCATTATAATAAATGTCATATGTAGCTACCTGTGCCCTTCAGCAAGAAGGAAATATACAGAAATTGAAGTTATCAAACACTAAATTCTAAATTAAATATAGACAAATCCTTAAAGCTACAAAAGTGATTGATTTCCTCTTTTTTTCTTTTGTTCTTTGATGAACAGAAATCACAGCAGCTGGTTATTAGGTTATTTTGGCTGCTTTAAGAGCTGCCGCTGCTGAACATGACATGGATCTGACACGCATCGTATTTTCTCATAACTCTTTACCTTTCCTGACCCACCTCAGGTCTTAAAGTCTCTACTAATGAGCTGAGGAGTTAAATCAGGTTTGTTAGATGAGGGAGACAGTGCTGGGCTGCTCCAGGACAGTTTTGAAAACCACTGCATTTCAGAGAGATGTTCTAAACCCATTATAATAAATGTCATATTTAGCTACCTGTGCCCTTCAGCAAGTAGGAAATATACAGAAATTGAAGTTATCAAACACTAAATTCTAAATTAAATATAGACAAATCCTTAAAGCTACAAAAGTGATTGATTTCCTCTTTTTTTCTTTTGTTCTTTGATGAACAGAAATCACAGCAGCTGGTTATTAGGTTATTTTGGCTGCATTAAGAGCTGCCGCTGCTGAACATGACATGGATCTGACACGCATCGTATTTTCTCATAACTCTTTACCTTTCCTGACCCACCTCAGGTCTTAAAGTCTCTACTAATGAGCTGAGGAGTTAAATCAGGTTTGTTAGATGAGGGAGACAGTGCTGGGCTGCTCCAGGACAGTTTTGAAAACCACTGCATTTCAGAGAGATGTT